CAGCCGGACTCCGCACTTCATCTTCCGTTCCAGCTAGTACGCTGAGGCCTCCCGGACTGTCCTTAGGGTGATAGGCCGCCAGCGACTACTTCTTCGTTGGGGTTTGTTCTATATATCATTCATATATACACTTGCCTCCTTCCGCCCATCAATGGACACAGCCACTGGTAGTGCTTGATATCAACCACTAGCCAAGATGGGTGGTGTTGAAAGGCAGTCTGCGCCACAGTCCGAATTCTCGCTCAACCTCCCCAAGCATGGCCAGATCCTCTCCGAGAAGTCCTCCTTAAAGGCAGCGGAGCCAACAGAGCCACCAATAGCAGAGTCAGCCGAGCCAGAGAAGCCCGCCAAGGGCCGTCCCGAAAGGGAGGCCGGCTTCAACGACTACATTCGTGTCTTCAGCTACGCTACAAAATGGGATTTCGTTCTGATGGTCGCCGCCGGAATGGCCAGTATCGGCTCCGGTACTACCATGCCGCTGATGAACGTCGTCTTTGGTCGCCTGGTGGGCGACTTCACCAACTTCGCTAATCCGACTCCCGAGATGATAGCGAGCTTTGAGAAGCAGGTCAACAAGCAGGCGCTCTACATATTCGCGCTGTTCATTGCTCGCTTCGGTCTCAACTACATCAACAAGTTTTGCTTCCGCCTCATTGGTATCCGCATGTCAGCTGCCATCCGCCTGCACTACCTGCGCTGCCTGTTCGGCCAGACCGTTCACGTCCTCGATTCCATGCCGTCGGGTGCCGCCGCGAGCACCATCACCGGCACTGCCAACACGCTACAGCTAGGCATCTCGGAGAAGCTCGGTACCTTTCTCGAGTTCACCTCTACCATCGTCACCGCCATCATTGTCGCCTTCACCTTCAGCTGGTCCCTGGCCCTGGTGACGTCTTCTGTCATTCTCTTCATACTTCTGGTCCTCAGTGTTATCCTGCCCTTCATCATCAAGGGACAGTCAAAGCTCACCCGGGCCGAGGGGAAGGCTAGCTCGGTCGCCACCGAGGCTTTGGGTTCGATTCGGATGGTCTCCTCCTGCGGCGCCGAAGACCGCGTCAGCAAGCGGTATGCCGAATGGGTCAAGAAGGCAAAGGAAGCCGGACGTGCTACTTCGCCTTTGTTTGCCACACAGTTTGGTCTGGTCTTCTTTGGGCTCTACGGCGCTTTTGCACTCGCTTTTTGGTACGGCACGAAATCCTACGTCGAGGGACGGATCAGCAGTATTGGCACCGTCATTGTCGTTTTGACGTCGGTCATGCTCATGGTCATCTCGCTCGAGCGTATCTCGACACCTCTTATCGCCGTGTCCAAGTCGATGGTTGCAGCTGCGGAATTCTTTTCCGTTATTGATGCCCCCCAGCCGAAAAATGGCACCCTCAGAGACCCGGATATCTCTGCCGACCAGGATATCATATTCAAAGACGTTCATTTCGCCTACCCTAGCCGGCCTTCCGAGAAGGTTCTTGATGGACTTGACCTCCGAATCCGAGCCAACATGAACACCGCCATCGTCGGCCCCAGCGGCTCGGGCAAGAGTACCATTGTTGGGCTAATTGAGGGCTGGTATACTCTTCACGACCAATACGTCATCGCTAAGACTATCGAGAAGGACAAGAACAAAAAGAAGAAGAAGGGCAAAAAGGATGGTGAAGCTAGTGATGACGATGACGAGACAGTTGTTGCCAACCTGAATGAGGAGGATGCCGGACCCGCCGTCGAGCTCAAGGGTAGTATCTCTACCTGCGGACACGAATTGGACGACATAGATATGAAATGGTGGAGATCTCAAATTGGCCTCGTCCAGCAGGAGCCGTTCCTTTTCAACGATACGATCTTCAAGAACGTTGCATCGGGCCTGATTGGAACTCAATGGGAAAACGACAGCGAAGAAGTCAAGCGGGAGCTCGTCAAGAACGCCTGTGCCGAGAGTTTCGCCGACGAGTTCATCGACCGACTCCCCGATGGCTACGATACTCAGGTGGGCGATTCCGGCACCAAGCTGAGCGGTGGGCAGCGGCAGCGTATCGCTATTGCCCGTAGTATCATCTCCAAGCCCAAGATTTTGATTCTTGACGAGGCCACGTCGGCCATCGATGTGCGCGGAGAGCGGATCGTCCAGGCCGCGCTCGACAGAGCCTCAAAAGGTCGAACCACCATCACCATCGCACATAGACTGTCGACCATCAAGAACGCCGATCGGATTTGTGTATTGCAGAAGGGCAAAGTGGTCGAGCGGGGCACTCACGAGAGCCTGCTCCAGAACGAGAGAGGTGCCTACTATGGTCTTGTCCACGCGCAAAAGCTGTCCTTGGGTGAGGACACGGGTCACGAGGATGACTCGCTTGAGGAAGAAGACATCGGCGCTATTCTCGCGCGGGAGAAGAGCGCGGCAAAATCGGAAGCCGGAAGCGCGAAGCAGGGCGCAAAGTGGCAGGACAGGAACCTGTTCAATGGATTCGGAAAGCTGCTGTACGAGCAAAAGTCGCGGTTCCCGCTGTACGTGGTCGCCATCATCGCCGCCATGGGCGCAGCATCTGCGGTGCCCATGCAGGCTTTCCTCTTCGCCAAGGTCGTCGGTGTTTTTCAGCCAGGTCCGAACGGCCAAGCCATCATCAACATCGACGACGCTACCTTCTGGTCAAAGATGTGGGCCGTCCTTGCAGCCGTCGTTGGGTTCAGCTACTTCACCACCATGGCCGTCTCGACCAACGTCGAGCATTACATCGCCGCCAAATACCGCCAGGAATACTTCGAGTCGATTCTTTACCAGAAGACGGCTTATTTCGACAAGGATGACAACGCCGTCGGCCAGCTGACGGCCAGACTGTCGAGCGACCCGCAGGCGCTCAAGGAGCTGCTGGGCATCAACCTGATGATGATGCTCATTGGCGTGTTCTCGCTGATCGGCGCGCTTGCCATCTCGTTCGCCTACGGGTGGAAGCTCGCGCTCGTGGCGTTGTGCGTAACGATCCCGCTTGGCCTGCTGGCGGGCTTTTATCGCGTGCGCTACGAGCTGCAGTTTAACGCCATGAACGAGGCCGTCTTCCAGGAGAGCTCCAAGTTCGGCGCCGAGTCGATCGGTGCGTTCCGGACCGTTAGCGCGCTGGTCATGGAGGATACTATTACAAAGCGGTACGAGGATCTTCTACAGGGCCACGTCATGGGCGCGTACAAGAAGGCGAGGTGGACGACGGTGTTGTTTGCTTGGGCCGACAGCGTCTCGCTCGGCTGCCAGGCGCTGATCTTTTGGTACGGTGGCAGGCTCATGCTTAGTGGCGAGTATAATATCATTTCGTTCTTGGTAACCTACATGGCTGTGATCCAAGGTGCCGAGTCGGCGGGCACGTGGTTGAGCTTTGGTCCAAACGCGGCACAGGCGTCTGCGGCTGCTAATAGGATTTTGGAGGCACGCGAGAGTAGGATCCACGACACGGCAGACACGTCGGAAGCGATTCCTGATACTGTTGGTGGTGTGAAGATTGAGATACAAGATCTGTATTTCAAGTACCCGACGCGGGATGTGTCCATCTTCAAGGGTCTCAATCTGACAATTCAGAAGGGGCAGTTTGCGGCTCTGGTGGGCGCGTCTGGGTCCGGGAAGACGTCCATCGTCAGCTTGCTTGAGCGTTTCTACGATCCCGCGCGCGGCAGGATTCTGTTCAACGGGAAAGATATTACTGAGGTCAATGTCTACGAGTACCGCAAGCTGCTGAGCTTAGTCGCGCAGGAGCCGGCGCTGTTCCAGGGGACGATTCGGGAGAATTTGTTGTTGGGCGTGGACCCGGCGACCGTAACGGAGGAGGATATGTTCAGGTGCTGTCGGGATGCGAATATTCACGAGTTTGTGGTGAGCTTGCCGGAGGGGTACGATACCAACATTGGAAGTAAGGGTGTCAGTTTGAGCGGTGGGCAGAAGCAGAGGGTGTCGATTGCGCGAGCGTTGATGAGGAATCCGACTGTTCTGTTGTTGGATGAGGCTACCTCTGCTTTGGATAGCGAAAGCGAAAAACTCGTCCAACAAGCCTTTGAACACGTCACCAAGGGACGGACGACCATTGCTGTGGCGCATCGCCTGGCGACTATCCAGAAGGCCGACATTATCTATGTTCTGGGCGAGGGCAAGGTGCTGGAGAAGGGCAATCACGCAGAGCTGCTCAAGAAGAAGGGTGTTTATTGGCATATGGTATGTTTCTCCGTTCTTTCATCAGGTGCGAGGCGTTGGCTAACATACGGTGTTTGCAGTGTCAAAACCAAGCTCTTGATCGGTAGTCCATCACGACACGACCTACATACCTTAGTCACCAGCTGTTGGCCGATACCCGTTCCTATTTCTAGATCAGGGCTTTCCATTCCATCCACATGCTACTTACTGCATACTATATACCATCTCCTTGTCGTTTACTTTCTATTCTTGGCTTCTCTTTTGACGCCTATTTCTTTTCTTTGGATATATTATCAAAGAGTGGCTACCCTACTCACTCGGAGGACACTTTTGTGTTAAAGAAAAGCAGCCCCAGCCGCGAGACGCTCGCGACCAGAGCAACCACACTCCGGCATACTACTTGTAAATGGATGTCATTTAATTCTGTTTTCCATATAGCGAGATGCGCGTCGCCCTTTTGGTCCTTTCCTCTCATGCAAGCCTTGCTCGCGGACAGGGCAGAGATCTTGGTTGTAATAATATTTCATTTTGTCTGTAAAATACTTAGATATAGAATGTGCATTTTGGATTAAAACTGGGAGGAAAACATGTTCGCTCAATGTTCATAAATAACACTAAAGTCAAACAAGAAAGAGCATATATATCCCCCAAGCGGCCAACCATCAATCAAGGCTGGCGAGACGAGTTACTCCACAAGGTTAATATTTCCTGTGAAAGTTCGCACAATGCCTACCACCAGTCCGGAAAATAAAAGAAACAGATAAAGTCCAAAAAGGGTAGAAGAGACGAAAATAAGTTAAACTATATTGGAGCGGAATGAATGCATCAAAAAGAAGTATGCCCACAGCCAGAATCGAACTGACGACCTCATCATTGACCTAGAAGTCCCTTGCTAAGGAGGAAGGTTAAACTTACTAGTGATGCGCTCTACCACTGAGCCATGCGGGCGTGTTGTGCTGTTATTACGTAACTGTGTAGGAACTGGACTACATGAAGCAAACTACCGGACTTCAACGAGTCGGCAACCTTCCACTTACCAAGAAGCGAGTTAAGATGAGCAACTGCCTGGAAGGTACTTAAGTACGTTACTGCTCTCGCTAGATCCGTAGTTGAATTGAATGAACCTGATCGACTGGAGCATTCCTCGTCTCCTTGAACAGCTTACCGAGGTACATAGGTAGAAGATCATCTCCCTCAAGTGCCAAAAAAAAAATTTCAGAGCAAATATATCGTCGAAACTGGCTATATGTGTTGAGTAATCTAAGTGAGGGATGTGCCTCGATTTGGTAAAGCATTACTTTTACCTAACTTAATTGTCACAATCTTGCATTAACGCCATATACAAATCAGACCCGGGCGAGGAAACAGAAAGTCAGCTAGCAGTTTGTATAAGAACATTGTCGTGACGCACACAGGGAGATACGGATCACCTACCTGGTATACCATGTCAGGTACCTACCGCGAGAGCACCCTGTACTGTGTAGCAGCAGAGGACGAAATTGAGAAACAAAACATTAAATATATTTATACTAAATCGTGGGTATTGCCAACCAACCCAACTAACTCCCTCCCATTTTACCTAGATTCGCTAAGTAGGCAAGATAGGTAGGTAGGCGCTAATGATGATGATGTGATAAACTGAATGCAACCGACTCTGCTCCTTTTCCGGGACACCTCCTAAACTTGAACAAACAGACCAACAAGCCCACAAACCAAACCAGTCGAACAAAACGCATCAAGCCAGACCACCACGTACAAATAGTACGCCAGTCCATGCATGCCCAATCCATAATCGACACCGACACCAAACATAGTAATCAAGTATGCCATCCATCTCTGTCCATCTGACTGCGACAATGTCATCAAACAGTCCCGAGATCAGACCGACAAAATCACGACTCGATATTCATCACCTCTCCTCCTTGCTGTGTTCCACGTTCCTCGCTCTCACTATTCTCCACATAACCTCCGCTCCCCGTTCCACTCCCACCGTTCGTAGCAGCCCGTCTTCCCCTCCGTGCATTGGCCCTCAAACCCCTAGACTGCTTAACCAACATCTCCAGCTCAGCCTCGGGCTCCTCCCGGCTCGGCATATTCGGATGTTCCTTCTCGTACTGAGCCTTAAGTTCAGTAGCCTTACGATCCCAGTCGGGGGCCAACTCTTTAAACTCCGCCATCTTTTGATTATACAACTTCTTCTGCTCTTTCCCCTGCTCCTCAAACGGCTTCCTGACCTCCGGGGCTGCCTCCTTCCACATCTTGGAGCACATGGCCCGCACCTCGGTGGCGCTGGGCTTCGCTTTGCCCGGCCGTCGGCCAACCATACATTCCTTGCGGGCATCCTCGTAGTGAGCTTTGCTCCAAAATATGTACCCGTTAACCGAAAATTTAGAAGGCTCGAGCGGCCGGAGGCCGATCTTGGCAGTGATATGATTCCAGAGGGCAATTTCGTACGCCTTCTCACGCGCCTTCTTGGGGTCTTCGCTCTCAGCCGCCTTCCGCTTGAGCGATAGAGACAAAGCCGACTCTCGCGGGATGACGAGCGGACTCGGAATCTCGATTGGGCCAAGCATCGCGTCAAGCACTTCCGATGCAGCCCGGAGACCAGACAGATACGCGCCGTGGACCGTGGCCGGGTGCGTACCAGACGTATGCTCTCCGGCAAAGAAGAGGTTGCCAATCGACCGCGCCATCGTGTCGTAGTCGTCGGCTTTCATATCCGGGCCGGCAGACGAGTAGCTTCCGCGCGCAAATTTGTCTGATGCCCATCTTGTGACCACCGTTTCCAAAGGCTCTTTGACTTTGGAACCGAAGACATTGCGGAGGACAAAGGTTGCCTCGGCGACGAGATCGTCGTTACATGTCTGCTCCGTGTCGTAGCCGGCATCGCCAGCCATGAGCGCCAGGAGCGTGGGCATCCCAGTGGTCTGAGTGACGTTGAACCATTGAAAGAACCGACCGCGCTGGGAGGAATAGTCTTTTTGCTCCACGCTGTGCCGGTTCGGAGGCAGTGGATTCCTCAGCACTCCAAAAATGTCGCGATCTTCCTCCCAGAAGGCCTCCTTATAGACCAAGATGACCTTGTTGAGCACACCAAACCCAAGGCGCTCGATGGCGTCGGACTTCCAGGACGGCAGTTCAGGCTCAAACTTGACAGAACCAGGGTGCTTCAAAACTCCCAGTGGTATCGTGCTGACGACATAGTCGGCTTCGACCTTGTAGCCATCTTCGCACTCGACAGTCACCGGTCCGTTTGAGCCCTCGTGCGCATATGTGATTTTGCTCACAGGAGACTTTTGCCGGATGTTCAGCGGCGTTGGAAACTCCAGCAGGCCTCTCGGGACGCTCTGATATCCACCGATGACCATGGTATGGTGTCCCTCCCATTCATTACCAGCATCGATATCCCAGCCCTGGAGGCTCAACTGATTGTAATTGATTGCATTGCTGTACTCAAGATTGGCAATATGCCAGTTCATAAGTCTGAAGTCCTGAGCCGTGAGATCAACTAGATCCTTGTACTGCTCGATGACCTTGTCGGTGACACTACCCAGAGTGGCATTAGGCTCTTTGGTGACAGGCTCGATGTCAAGATCGGCTTCCTGGCTCACGCCCTGCTTTAATGCCCATCCCATGAGCTTCGCCTTGTACGCAGCCCTAAGCGCCCCCGGCGTTCCCGGCTCGGTATGAATCCTACCAGTGGCCCGATCCGATGAGATCGGAACGAGATTTACTTGGGGTGCAATGTTTTGTTCCGATACAGGCAGCGAATGCGGCTGGGCAGCAGTTGACTCCTCAGCCTGCCGTATCGTCTTGTGGGCTTCTGCCGAGCTGTCTTTGCCCTCGTCCATCAACTCCCTGTTGCCTTCGATCAGCTTCGAGGACGGTTGTTTAAACTTGTACTCGCTGACTCGATCGAGGCAGTCGTTGTAGAGTTTCTCCACCAGCTGATCTCGCTGGAGGTCGACGGGCTTGCCATTGTGATCATATAGAGTGGTATCCGGGCGTAGCGGACGGTAGGGAAGTCCAAGCTGCCCTCTGACAAGAATGTTTATGGGATTGCCCCTCTCAAATCCCGTAATGATCATGCCTCCCATCTCAGCAGTGAACCTCTTCCCTTGGAAGCCTTCAGGTACTTCGTTGGGTTTGGATGCAAATGGTCGTGAATAGACTCTGCCGCCTACTCGATTTCTGCCTTCTAGCAAGATCACTTGAGGCAGCTGTTCGCCCTTTTCCTTGAACCTCTTTGCGTACTGCGATATGAGCCCCTCAAGTTGCCTGGCACAACCGAGACCAGACATACCCGCACCGATGACGACAATCGTCTTCCGCTTGCTTAATGAGTCCTTGTTCGCATGTTTCCTAGACGAGCGAACTTCGACACACCCGAAGTTGATATAACCACGGCGGACAAGCCAGTCGAAGCATACACTGGCAACATCAAACCACCGCGTGTCTTTGGCACAGCCAACTGCCTCCTCACGGGTTACTGCAATCTGCGGATTCCGAACCCATAGTCTCAAAATACCGTTCCTGATATTCAGATAGGTCGTGACCTGGGCGTGGCTGATATGATCCCGGAGCATCAAATATTCTTCCTGGTGCAAGGCATATGGATTGAGCCTCGAAGACTCGGCGGCAGCAATACACTGCATCGCATAGTCTGCGAGGGGTAGATCGGGAGGTATAGACACTTTAGGGCGAACGCTGTATCTCCGCCTCGGGGTGTCGGTTGGTTGGATTCGGACAGTGTGTGTCGGATGTTCTCTTGGGCTGTCGCCGTCAATAGGGGTGGTAGCCTTGCTGGAGCGTGAAGCTGCCATAGAGGACACGTCCGAGGGCTCCGACGTAACAGATAATGAGGAAGTAATTAGACGGGGGCGTTCCTTGGCGGGTTCGGCAGGCTTAACGGTGTCAATCTTCACATCCGGGGTCTGAACAGCTTCAGTTTCTGCTAATTTGTCCTCATCGTCGACGACCATGGCGTCAGCATCGTCGGCATGTTCGGGATCCACGACATCATTTTCGGCGTCGGCGACCATGTCGTCAATTCCGTGCTCAGCGTCGACCATATTATCGTCAATCTCAGCATCGACAACCTCAGGTTCTGCCATCTCGGTGTCAATAGCTTCGGTTTGAACCTCGGTCTCAGCAGGCTCGTCCTCGACGACTTCATCGTCTTTAACGGCTTCCGGTTCGAGAACCTCGGCATCATCGGCCTCAACTTCGACCGCCTCAACCTCGACCCCATTGACTTCGACGTGTTCGGCGGGCGGAGGATCTAGTATTACTGGTATTACTGGCGGAGGAATGGTACTGTTGAAATGTTCAGCAAATGAAAGTACCTCAAAAAGACAGTGATATGGGGTGTAACGATGACAGAACAAGGAACATATATCATTCCCAACTTGGGAAACAAGAGAATTATGATAGTCAAGGGGGCCGTTACTTACGTGGTATCGGCTTCCGCAGCAGCGATGTCATCTTTAGTAACAGCCTCATCAACTTTCTCATCGGGTTCGACGACAGGACTCGGGCTGTCAGCGGCGGTAGCAGCAGGAGTATCAACAGAAAAATGATCCGACTCGGCAAGTTCGGCTTCCAGCTCCGACTCCGGATCGCTGAGCTCCGAATCCGACGAGTTGTCCATGTCCATCATGTCACCGGTCCAGACCACAATCTCCTGGGCGATCTCCTCCGAACTGCTGCTCCTCCGAGTCGATTCACGCTGGTGGCGGGCTAAAGCAGCTGCTCGCCCTCTAGCGGTGGGTACCGGATCCGTCGCTATCGAGTTTGCTATACTGGAGGCCGGGGATAGCGATGGCTTGTTGTTCGCAGCACGCGACGACGACGACGTTGAGGAAGAGCGGGTCGGCGGGCGGAGACGGTGATGTGATGAGTTTGATGATATTGATGATGATGATGCTGCGAAGTTAAGTTCCTTGGTG